CTATGAAACTTTCCTCTTTCTTGTTGGCAAATATACTAAAGAGTGAGATGTCAATGTTTTGGCGTAGGGCCCATTATGTAACAACTATGACATGTAATTTCATTGAATTCTCAAAACTTCCAGAACTTTTATGATACACATTTTATGTTTGCATATTTAGTTTATTTAGAATTAATTTTGATGCAAAATATAAAGTTTATCTTTTTCTCTCAAATCACTATGTAGTTATTTTTGTACCATTATTGGTCTTTTACATGCTCATTGATTTAAACTAATACCTTATACAGCACAAACTTATGTGTTCTTGAAGGTTTTGTTTGGATAGAGTCTTATTATATAGCACAGGCTGGCCTTGATCTTGAAATCCTCCTGCCTCAGCCTCCTGAGCACTGGGACTGCAGGCAAGTGCCAACCATTCCCAATCAAGTCTCTTATAATCCGAACTTTCTATACTGTTCCAGTATTTTCTGGCTGTCCCACTTCTCACTCTTCTGTTATTTCACATTATCATACCTCTGTGATCCTTTATTGTGTTTACATTTTGATACTTGATGATGATATAGGGGAAATTATGGTCCCCTCTTGGGCTTCTCAGTCTCATCAATAAAAATTAAGAATTTAAGAATGGACTCAAAACCTGAGGACAATTAGCGTTTGAAAGAAAGAAAGAAAAAAAACAACAACAAAAAACCTAGGGCAGGCAAGCTATAAATCTCAGCAGCTGCCTGAGGAGGGAAACGGAGGAGAGAAGAAAGTCCTGCCATTTAAGTTGGCCTGGAGATCAGACACAGGGTGAGCTGACAGCCATATGAGGGTGGTGGGGAGTTTTACAGAAAGAGCAGGGAAACACAAAGTGTTGGGAAGGCATGCTTTAGAAAAGAGATGGAGGAAAAGGAGAGCTTACTTTGTTCTGAAGAGTTTAGAAAAGCAGGCAGACTCATGAAGACTATGACCTGGGAGCTCCTGTGTTGGGAGTGGGGGATTCAGGGAAGGAAAAGCGTATTTAGCATGGTGTAAGGTGAACCCGCCTTCCTAGGGGCGGTCCCTTGGCCAGGTGGTTGACCCTGCCTAACTGGAATGTTAGGTTTCCACCCAAGACAGAGATTCTGTTCTTTTGACCAGAAGACATTTTATTAATTATTATTTTCTGTGTATGGATGTATTGTCTACATGTATGTAAATATACCTGTATTATGCAATGCCCATGGAGGTCAGAAGAGGGCATTAGATTCCCTGGAACTGGAGTTATGGATGGTTGTTAGTCACCATGTGGGTGCTGGGATCTGAACCCAGGTCCTCTGGAAGAACAGTCAGCCCTCTCAACTGCTGAACCATCTCTTTGACCCCCAGGAGTTTTTTCTTTAAAAAACATTTTTTTTGATTTATTTATTTATTTTATTTTATGTGTATGAGTGTTATGCCTGCATGTGTGTAAGTGCACCCATGTTGTGCAGTGCCTGCAGAGGACCGAAGAGGGTCTCAGGTCCCCTGGAACTGGAATTAAGGACGGTTGTTAGCTGCCATGTGGGTGCTGGGATTCAAACCTGGGGTCTTCTGCAAGAACAGCCAGTGCTCTTAACCACTGAGCCATCTCTCCAGGGAGGACCCCCCTTTTTTTTAATTTCAGAAGTTTTTTCTTTTTAAAAAAGTACTTTATTATTTTATGTGTACGGATGTATTGCCTGCATGTAGGTAAGTGCACCCGTGTCATGCAATGCCCACGGAGGACAGAAGAGGCCACTGGATCCCCTGGAACTGGAGTTACAGATGGTTGTTAGCTGCCATGTGGGTGCTGGGATTCAAACCCGGGTCTTCTGCAAGAACAGCCAGTATTCCTAACGGCTGAGCCATCTCTCCAGTCCCCAGAAGGAGCTTTTTCTTAGCAGGCCTTTATTGCTACTGTGGATAAAAGTTCCCAGAAAAAAATCTGCATCTTCAAACTCAACCTTCTGAAAGATTGATCAACTAATTAGAACATCAGTGACTGTAGAGTTTAGAATGTTGCAGATCCGGTGCCATTTATTTACCATTTATTTTGAGCCTCCTTTAGCTTCCTAAATAGCCATTCCTTGCTCACCTGTTTCTGACTTAGCATCTTGTGACTAACCAATAAAAACTTTTTGGAATGTAGTAACTTAGCAGATCACCAGCTTCCACCAACCCAGGGGCTAAAAAAGCCCGTCAGATAGCATCCAAAGGGCTTTTAGCACAGTTCAACCCACACTACTACAACCTGAAGAGTATTTATCATATGCAAACCGCAGCCTAAGTGCCTTGCACCTGCTGTCTCTGATGTTTCCACCAATGTGTTTGAAAAGTGTCTTGATTTGTGGCTTCCTTTGTTCTGTTACTACAAAAACTTCATGACGCTGTTACCACGCTGGAACACAGTATTTGGGGTAACTTGAATCGGTGTTCCTGGGCCATGGTCACTTATATTTGCTCCAAAATAAACTCTTATCCCCTTTGAGATGAGAGCTGTGCTTTTCTGTTGACACTACTGTAACATTAAGAACCTCTCATTTCTTGGCTGGGTGTAGTGGTGCATGCCTTTAATCTCAGTACTAAGGAGACAGAGGCAGACAATCTGTAGGTGCAAGGCCAGCATTGTCTATATAGTGAGTTCCAGGCCAGCCAGGACTACATACTGAGACCCTGTCTCAAAAACAAAACAAAACAAAACACAAAAACAACTACAAAAACTCCCCCCAAAGAACCTCTCATTTCTCTTCCTACATTTAGTCAGACACAAAGAATACCCTTACTTTCTCATACACATTAAATTCATTTTCCAGATGAATTTGGGAATTATCTGGCAAAGTTCTGTTTAAAATATTTTGGAATTCTGATGACTAAGAGCTTTAAAACTCCTATTTGAAATAGGAAAAACTCATAGGAGATTGGTAACTTTTTTCCAAAATCAGCTCTCTTTAATTTTTTTTTAGATTGATATTTTGTTCTTTATTTTTATATTTCCAATATTGTAGCACTTCGTAAATGTTTGATTCTTACTTAACTGCCTCTTTTCAGGGTGGCAACTGATTGTAACACATTTTTACAACTATTCAATACTAATAATTGATTTTGTTCTTCCTTAATCAGAATTCATTTCCTGTCCAAGCAATGCATCTGAGTGCAACCATAGCTGTGTTCTGACATCCGATGGTCCCTTGTGTATCTGTCCTGAAGGCTCAGTGCTTGAGAAAGATGGAAAAACATGTAGTGGTGAGTTTATTTGCCTTATGTTGGTTTGAAAATATAAATCTTCTAAGTGGCACCTAAAATTTAATCTTATTGCTCAAAGAGAGTGGATTTTTTCCCAATTATCTCATAAAGGCATTTATGCAACAGATTAATATGTAAATGGAGGGGAGTAGTGTCGAGGTTTTGAGCCAGTTCTTTGAAGTTAGGTAGCCCTGAGATAGCATTATCAGTGACAGCAGGTGCAGGGTGCTTAGCCTGCTGTTTGCATCTGATAAGTACTCCCCTGCTTTTATCTTCTAGAGAAGAGGCTTAGAGAAGCCTGGATGTAACTCAAAACTAGCAGGAGAGTTTTGTGTAGTTTTAATTTTAAAATAAAAAAACGCAAAAAAAGGGAGAACATTTAGTTTTTGAAATAAAGTTTTACCCAACTCCTGAACTGAGAAGAGTTCCAATTAAGATCATATAAAAACAAAGCAAGCAAACAAAAACACAAGTCCAGAGGACAAAAATGTGCAAGAGAAGAAAACTGTACTACTCGTTCGGACGGGTTAGAGCAACTGCCAAACTCATCAGGCGCATTTCCTTCTCTAGCAGCTGCCAGTGCATTGTTCTTGAACGCAGGGGTAGAACACAGGGACCAGAGCCATTGGAATGTGAAGGGTTAACCTCAAAATGCTGGGTTATGGGGAAGTACACACTGTGACATTTTGCGTTAATCTCTGAAAATAAACTTAATTGCAAACACTACAGATAATCATGGAAATTACTTTAAAGGGAAACACATAGTAGATTTACTTACCAAAGTACTTTAATGAAATATCATTATCAAGCAACTGGTTTTTTGTAGGTTGTTCATCACCTGATAATGGAGGATGCAGCCAGGTCTGTCTTCCTGTCAGCCCAGTGTCCTGGGAATGTGGTTGCTTTCCTGGGTATGAACTACAACTAGACCAAAAAAGCTGCAGAGCTTCAGGTTAGCACTGTGCTTGTTTGAAAGTCTGTCTTTGAAGGAAGATGACATGAAAATGACATCACGTTAAAAATTTGAAAAGTTAAGTTTCTTTGGGGTTCTTGGTAGAAAGCATATATTTTTTTATTTTTGGAAATGGAAAATAAATCCTAAGAATATGAATAATATAAGTAATTATAACATAAACTATACTTTTGAAGACTGTTTCTTAGTTAACTGCCATCCAGCAAAGCTTTGGAACAAAGTCAGGTATATCTTCAGTAAATGCGAGCCATTATGGGAAGCCTTAAAACACTTTATAGTTAAGAGGAATCTGATAATTATTTGTTGATTGATTTGATTTTGTTCCTCTGGTGAATGTACTCATCATAATACATTGACAAGTTTTGTCTCTTTCCTGTCAACATTTAACCTGAAGCTGTTCCTTCAGCTGGCTCTTCCGTTATTACATCTCTTAACGTCTTTCAACAGCCTTGGAAAATCTTAGCTAGAACCATGACCCTGTACAGATTGCCTTAGTCTGACCCCAATTCTCATAACTTTTCAAGATCTTAATTAATAAAACATAATTCGAATCCTGAGAATGATTAGGAGACTTAAAAAATTCAAATAATTATACCTCCCTTTGAGAAAAGCCCAGGACAGTGAAAGTGAATTCATGAATTCAACACGTGTGAATGAAGAAGGTTACAGCCTGGAGATGTGTCATTTGGCTGTGGTTTTGGTTATTTAATGTGGCCCTTTCTATGAATAATTTATGAGAGAAGGATCCAGTGGTGAAATCTTAGCAGTGACAGAAGAGGAAGACTTTTTGCTTGTCTTTGCCTACATCACACCGGTGGGAAATTAAGCAAACTATGCAGAAATTAAACAGGAAGCTGCAGTCAGCAGGAAGAGTCACAAGTGCCTCCAATCTGAAGCGTGTTTTAAATGCAGTCATATTTGAAATTCGGTTAACAGGACCACAGCCATTTTTACTGTTTGCTAATTCTCAAGACATCCGACACATGCACTTTGATGGAACCGATTATGGAACTCTGCTCAGCCAGCAGATGGGAATGGTTTTTGCTCTGGATTATGACCCCGTGGAAAGCAAGGTAACACCTTTTTGCTTGAGAGATATGGTTATGCTGTTAAGTGACTAGAGGACTTAAGCTTCGGGTGACATGGAGTACTTGAAAAATCTTCCCAGCTCACAGTAACTACACGCAGAACAATTTAAATCTAGACATCAGCGATCCCTTAGCTCCCCTGCTGTCGGAGTGCTGTCCTAGTCTTTGCTGTGATTTAGCCATCTTTCTTACTGGGGAGGATTGTGCAGCATCGTCATTTCAGTTAACCCCCGGGCGTGCAGATGGGAGACTAGCTAGTGTAGGATGGCACGTAGACGTTGCTCCATGAGTGGTGTTTTCATTATTTGCTGCTACTGGTTTGGGGTTGGGGGATCAGAAGTATGAATTACTAATTAGCATTTTTATAGCCAGTTTTTAAACACATTTTATTCTATGCATATGAATGTTTGGCCTGTATGTATGTGTACCCACGTGCATGCCTGGTGTCTGTGGAGGTAGAAGAGAGTGTTGGATCTCCTGGACCTGGAGTTGAGGATGGTTGTTCACTGCCATATGGGTGCTGGGAACCAAAGGCAGGTCCTCCGGAACAGCAATAGGTGCTCTTAACTGCTGAGCATCTCTAGCTCTCCAATTAGCATTTAATATATGTCATTGAGAGAAGGGATTTAATGACTTCTTAACCATGAAAATCAAGAAACAAGTTTTTATAGTTTATTTATTTATTTATTTTTAATTATTTTATATGCATGAGTATATTGCCTGCATGTATGTAAGTGTACCTGTGTTGTGCAATGCCTATGGAGTTCAGAAGAGGACATCAGATCCCCCAGAATTGGAGTTATGGACAGTTGTTGGCCACCATGCGGGTGCTGGGAACTGAACCCAGGTCCTCTGTAAGAACAGCCAGTGCTCTTAACAGCTAAGCCATCTCTCTCATACCAAGAAACAAGTTTTTAATGGCTCATGTGCAAATAGCAGTCTAACAGATAACATTGTTTACATAAATATCATTTTTTTTAAATGTAACTTAAAATTACCATATTATTAACCTAGGCAGTTAACCAGTTAGTCATTTGCTTCTTAGCTGTATTTGGGCTAAATGAAAGTGCTTGAAATGTTACAGTGCTTTTGGAGATCAGTTATCCATATGATACATTTACATAATCATTAACTTCAATAATTACCATATTATTGTTAGATGGTGCATTGATTTGTGGAATTTTAAGCCTTGTGCTTTTGCTTGTTGCTGATCTGAAGTAGTCTGGTAGGTAGTGAAAGAGACAGAGGGGAGCAAATTGACTGTGTTTAAAGGGTATGGATGGATAGATGGCCAAATAGCCTGTGGGCTAGACTTAGAAAGAACTTTGTACCTGCAAAATTGGACAAGATGGATGGATTCAAATGAAATTATATAAGGTTAAAGATGAAAGGAACTTTAGCAAATATCTGATCTAATATTCTCATTCTGTAGTATGGAAAACTGAAGCAAAATGACTTGGTTAAGGTAGTTAAGTAAGTGGTAAAACTGACAGAGTGAATCACTGGTCTCCTTCAGGCCTAAGAAGCAACCAGGGCTTGAATACAAATACTCTATCATTAATCAGTGGTCAAAGATGCTGGCGCTGTGTGTGTGTGTGTGTGTGTGTGTGTGTGTGTGTGACATAGAGTAAACTGCTCGTGGTTACACATATTTGGAAGTTTGAGCAGCATAGGCTTTATTGTAGATGTGTCTGTCTCCAAAGCCAAGTCACAGTCAATAACCTGAAGACTTGTTCGTCTCCTTTGTGTATATTCCATATTAATTTTTCAAAACACGAATCAGAAATTCCTCATTCTCTTTTGCAGATATACTTTTCACATACAGCCTTGAAATTGATAGAGAGAGCTAATATGGATGGTTCCCAGCGGGAAAGGCTTATCCAGGGTGTAGACAGGCCAGAAGGTCTTGCTGTGGACTGGATTGGCCGAAGAGTCTACTGGACAAACAGTGGGTAAGGTTCTTGCTTCTTGCTTGAATTTTATGCCACAGGAGATGGAGGTGAGGAAATAGGTGCTCCCACTGTGCTCACCCTCCACTTTGAGCATAGGAAAATATGGCTGGGCACTTGGCTTGGATAGGAAGAGAGAAGGTACCTTTGGGTCCATGCTCTTTCCTCCCCGCCATCATGGACAGGATCTATAGCTATGGGAGGATTTGGGAGCCAGAAAAGGTGCATGGGCTTTTGTCATTCAGACCATTGTTATTAAATCTGAAACATGTCTAGCACCATCAGGAGCATCTGCTTTGGGTAAGGCTTTCTCCTGGGTGTTTCCTGGAGCATACAATAGAGGAAGGGATAGGATCTGTCTTTGCAGTCAACTCTAAGTGTAGCTGGGGAGCTAGAGCCTATTTCCTCATTAAAAATGAACACAGATGCTTGGTTTAAGTAGAAGTTTCAGGAGTTCCATAAAGCTATGCATAGTTGCCAAATGAAGGGTGTTCACTGTCAAAGGCACCAGCTAGCCTAACCCCTTCATTTTACAGGCTCAGAGAGGCTGATTACTCTAGGTTGCTTACACAGTACACGAATGACACGTCTTGTACTAAAATCCCCGCATTGGCTTCTGTTGAGCAAGCATGAAGGAAAGAGTAGGCGCCTCCCTGGAGGTCGGAGAGGTGGGCTCCTTCTCTTCAGTGGAGAACCAGAGAAGCAGAGTCAAGTGTTCCTAGTCCCTCAGCACTCTTAAGTCTCAGGACTTCAGGGCTTGCTTTTGTCCCTGTGTGTGGCCTTGTGACCCTGAGAGCAGGCAGGGCGGGAGGAGAGCATTGAGGAATGCTCCAGTGCTTGCTAAGGAGAGCCTACTTCCTTCTGTGCGGGAAGCCATGAACCAGATCCCCTCAGGATACTATGAGAGATTCTGTGTGCTCTAGGGTATTTCCCAAGAGTCACTGAAAGCCATGAAGTGAACAAGAGTCAGCCATTCTGAGTATCTTTATTAACTTATTTTTTTAAATAATTTATTGAGAATTTCATACATGCATAAAAGGTGTTTTGATCAAATCCATGCCCATTCCCTCCACTCCAACTCCTCCCATATCTCCCCATCACTTTTTTCTGATAACTTCATGTACACTTTCTTCTTTAATTT